CAAGGATCAGTCCCAGGTACAAGCCTGGCCCGGGCCATTCGCTGCACGTCATCCCCTCTCTCTCCCCTGCCTTTCCTGTCTTCCTCTACTGTCACTGTCAATAAAGCAAAATGCCCCAAAAAAAACCACAGCCATGCGTGTTTGAAATAAATCTTCAGCTATGTCGAAATGATTTGCAGGATAGCCCACGTGGTTGTTTTACATATGGAATATGTCAAGGAGAAGAAGCATTGCTCTGCATCTCCTCCCCACTTTTGGATCTCAAGGCTCATCCTGCATTCAGGCCCCGAGGGCATGGCGCTGGTTGTGAGTAAGCCACTGGCTTCAGTCATTCAGACAAAGCAAAACAGGCAAAACTAGACAAGGCTTTTACACTTGGTTGCCCTTTGTCTCTGCAACAACAACCAAAACTGCTGAAGTGGAGGCAGTTGCTGCGAGGACACAAGCCCAAAAACGTCCCAAAAAAAATAACATAATGTAGCATTAACGCACCGTTTGAGATAAATCTGGTTGCATCTGTTATGTTAGGATACCAATATGATTTTCTCCCCCACATGGGAACGCAGACTGATCTACACATTGCTTTAGGTCTGTAGGCATGCATGGGTGGGCTGCACACACACACCAATGTACAGGTTGATATGCATCAACATGTCACTTGCACGCCTGTTGTCATGGAAACAAATCAGGCTACCTAATGTACCATAACCATTTCAGTATAGGACATCAGTGAATTAATCTTAGGGGTTTTTCTTAATGCCCAAACACCCCAGGCTACATTTAGCAGAAATCATCCCACATACACAATACCTGACCTGACCAACTCTACACCGTGGCTGTGTAATCCATGTATATGCAGTGACTGGGAAAGAGCCTGTTAAGAGCAGGATGGCTGACAGTAATGACAGAAGAGTCCTTGGCGGAATTAATCACAAGCTGTGCATTAGATCTGCAGGCCACAGTTAATATTCCGTTTAAAGATACAGGCTAGTGCATTGTGTTGTTGCACATTAAACAGACTCACTGAGTGCAGATAACAAATGTGCAGCCACGTTGGAAGGAACGCCGATGCAATGCCCCTTGCAACCTTCACACGAACCCTTTCTTTTCCTATCATTTTATTTTATGTGGTAGTAAAGTGGTGCAGCTCTTACCGGTGGAGTGGTCCACAGGTCCTCCGCCGTTGTTGCTGAACAGGGCAGCGTACAGGTCAGGGTATGCCTTCTCCAGGGCCACACACAGGTCGAGGAAATGGTCGCTCTCCTTGTTCATCAGCATCTTCAAAAGGTGATCGACTTTCTCGGCGCTGGACGAACAGTTCTGGTCCAGCTCGAACCTATCGAGTTGGCTCAAGGTACCAGAAACTATCAGCAGCTCGATCACCCGGTCCGCATCTGTTATGGACTCCAACAAGTTCTGGTGGCACTGGTCTAGCAACTCTTTGTGCTTTGGCTCCATTGCTATCTGCTGTAGTTCCGTAGCTTCCCAGCTAACCCAGACGGCCAAGTGGATGTAATATCCTCACCGATCAAAAGTACCGAGCGACTACTGAACTTAACTTACCGCGGCTTGCAGAAGTTAGCCGGAGCCACCACGGCATTAGCTTGCACGCGAGATCAATTTTTATAGCATATTGAAAAAGCCACAAGAAGCCATATTTGTTGCCCAAGGCTGTTGACTGCACTAAACAGCGATACATTTTTCCATCTTACTCGTGTGTGGCAGTTGCGGTTGTTTTTTGCTTCCCCGCAGAGTACGCTTTAGCCGAGCACATTGTCCTCCTCTGGTGTATCATTTAATGCGCCCTTTGACGACTCAACTGCTGGGGAAACTCACGTAACTCCGCCGCGGATCCTCAGTTACACTGTATCCTCCGCCATGTCTGAGCAACTCAGCAGCTGCTACCCGCTGTCAATCAACGTGCCGTTCAATGGCCATATAAGGGAAAATGGGGCGGGGTTTTTATAAAAACACACCTATTTCTTCAATGGGCGTACACATCACCCTGTAGTACGTCGAAAATCCCAGGCGGAAAAAATGAGAATGGAGACTATTTGCATGAAAATCTGGTAATGTATTAGAAAACGTCGACGTAGTGTTTAAGGTGGGTAAACAATGACCCCATCCTTACGGTAAAGCAACCAATCTGCAGTCAGATTCCTTGTGTGTGTTCACATCCTTGACCAATAAAGCTACAGGATTCTGATTCTGGTAGTATACAGATATACATTTTACATACAAAACACATGAAGAGTTTATAAAATATAATGATTAGACAGATTACATTACCTCGCAATATGTAAAATATATATTTTTAAATAGCTAAATTGCGACCGAATATGACTGTCTAATGTTACTTACAGACCAATGCAACAGTAATAATTATCCAGTAAGATAATAAAGACTCACAGGAGCCATTTTCTGCATTATTTGACTTTGTATACTATTTCAATGCAGAACTTTGACTTGTAATGGAGTATTTTTATATTGCAGTAGTGCTACTTCCACTACTGGTTATCTGTTGTCCTTGTATAAACCCCATCAGTGTGATGCAACTCACTTTATCACCACAGTGCATTAGATTAATTTATGTCTCAAAAATTCTCATCACATAAAATCAGCAGAACCCTAATCAATTATCAGCCTCACTGAGTACATGAAGAGTTTTATTTAGGAAAAATGCTAAAGCAGTGTTAAAAATATAAGGATTGTATTCAGTCCCTGCATAATATTGTTGGTGTAGCGACAGGCTTGTGCTCTAGGTTTCCACTGTTTCTATATCCAAGCAGCAGAACATTCAGTATCTGTGTGTTGGATAAGATAGAAGAGGGCAGTCAGCCATACGTGAACATATAAGCAACACGTGTATTTGAGTAGGATTTGTGAAATCCAATATGATGATGATGGATGCACTCTGCTTTCAGTCTACAGCTGAATAAAGACTGTTGGCACAGGGGCAAGCGTCTGCAGGCATACCTCTCAAACCGTGACCTTATTCATGCATGCACTGAATCTCATTGTGACATCTACAACTCTCTCCCTCTCTCTCCCCCTCTCTCTGTTTCCCTGCCATGCTGGCTCCATAGCTTGTGCAACCATGTGCTCTCCCCTGAAAAATTAATTACAATTCATTCATATCAAAGGGAAGCAGGTCCCCACTGCTGACACAGATTGGACGGCTGTGTCTGTACCCTACTTCCGAGGACACACATTTGAATAGAGAAGACAGCCTGACGCTTTTTATCTTGGGGGTATGAACGAGTTTATTATTTAGACAACAGGGGTGGTGTTTCTAGCTGTCTGATAATTTACTGAAATATTATTAAACATATTTGTTTATCAGACAGCCCGGATCAGGGAAGATAATAGCATTATCTTTTATTGAACAGACTGTCAGCAAGCATATCCATCATTTATCCTGGGCCAAATAGTCTGAAACAGTACATTTTATGGATCTTTTTATGGCCTGTCTGAATAGAGATCTAGCTAATGGAAGGTTGTCTGGGATGGCAAAATAATGACTTTATTATTTGTTCATTTTTTAGACATTTTTTTTACTGCATCTATACATAATTCATACTCAACAATGGTACGTCTATTGTATCTCCATTCGTAAAGGAAAAAGCATTAGAAAATAATAGTGTTCTCAACGTTTTGAAGGGACAATTAAAAAAAGAGTCATTGACGACATGTTAGAAGAGACTAAGTTTGTTGCTTATCATCATAATACTTCTTAAGACATTTTAATGGAAAGCCATCATTTCCAAACAATACCTCAGACCTTAAGGCACCATGAGAGGATTTCCAAATAATTAGGAGTTATAATAGACATTAAATTAGGCAATTCCTGGTTTTTAATTAACAGTGAATTACACAGCCTTCAGCTGGATGCCTACAACAAATGGGAGGTTTCTGATCATGATGATATCAAAACTGCATTGTTGGCAGAGACATGCTGAAACACTTTGAAATTACTTTATAAAACTCATATAACAATGTTTAAATTATCTTGTCAAAACTGATCTAATCGCATTTCATCTTCATTAAAATGGTAGTTATAGTAATCTAAACCTCTATCTAAAAGCCCTCAAGCCTTTCCTGCCATGTCTGGTCAGTTTTAAAATGATGTGATCAAAAATGAATCTTCCAGCATGGCTGTTACCCAAGGGTTCACCCTGACAGCACTGCAGACATGCTAGACTTGCTTAAAGTGGCCAAGGCAGCTTTATGGATGCCATCAATTCCCCTCCTCACATATTGATCGTAGTGCAGTTAACACACACTACTATAGCCAGCCAAACGCAGAGCCACGTCCCTACAGTCAAGTGTGTTCAACAGCATTTTAAGCGAAGCCAACAGGATGTAATAAGGCATGGAGAGCTCCATGTGCAGCCACGCACGCTGGCCTTAACCCCTTAAGGATAGAGAAATGATGTATATGTATTGATTGAGTAAAATGTTGTGTTTACCAACTGGGTTTTGGCATTGACTGTGGGACCTTCAACATATTCAGTGTCAGAATGAAGACACTTGTTTATAATGTTGTCAAATAATTTAAACTGAATTGTGAACACGGATATTGATCTAATGCCATTATATAATGATTCATATTCTTCAAAGAGAATTTGTAAGGAGATCTGCTTGTTGAAATTCAGCTGTAGGGGCTGAAGACTTCACTGCCCTCTACAGGCAAACTGAGTTTATTACCAAGTGCTAACAATATCAGTGCAGTCATGAGAAGGTCATGACTGTTTTGGATATTATAATTGGTTAGTAAGCCATCTGATGAACAATTGTATTGCACCTAGGGATTTATTTGCTTGTGAACCAGTGAAGGGATATGAGACATTGAATTTTAGAGGGGCATCTGTATCTAAGTAAGGCCTGTGTTCGTATGTTCTTTGTTATATGTTTCACACAATTTAAATGTATTTTGTAAGTAATGAACTTCGACAACTTCCAGTGTCAGTTTTCAGTAATTATTTTCTGAGACACAGGGATAAAATCCACCAACAATTTATGAAATGTGATGTTTGAGTTTTACATGCTTTTACATGACAGGTATACGATACACAAATGCATCTGCAGCAGACAGAGGACAACTACAATAAAGAAAAAGTACTTAAGGGTAGACAAACTATAGAAGAGATTATACAATGGCAAACATTAACTGACAACTTTGGTACTTAGCTGCAATGTATTCTATGTCCCGTGTCCCGTACTATATTCAACATTGCTGAACATCAGGAAATTAGCTAAAAAAACGTTCATTTTGGCACAATTGAAGTAAAATAAAATATACAGCTCTAAAAATTCAAGTGTAATATTTTGCAAATCGATTGTATGGCCTTTATATTTAACTCCAGCAAAGATATGACAAGTGAAAAATATAAAACTTTTGTGCATAGTGCATGTAGAAAAGAAACAATATGTAGCAATATCATCTTAAAACTAAGTAAACATTGTATTGAGAGCAATGGCATGGCATGCAGGTTTGTGTATAGTGCATATAGATATGGCAGAAAACTTATTTTTATAGAAAATGTTTCTATAATATAGTAGACTCTGTTTCCTTTTCAGTCACTACCCCCACAGAACTTCAGTAGGAGCTTCTTGTAGTCTCCTGATGTGTCTCCCTGTCAATAAAACAAATGCATAAGCAAATTAGTTAGACCTTTGTCTCACAAAATCACGTGTACTTGTTGGTTTTAAATCATCCATCCAGCTCGAGGGTTATTTATTTGAAATACAATATATGACGAAGATACTTACAGAGATGTCTGTGTACAGCGACTTGCCATAGTTTTTGACATACTCCTGGCGAATATCCAGCATGTCAACCTCAGAACGGGAGACCATGATCCGGATCAGGGTTTTATCTTTGGTCCCAGCTCCCTGAACACATGCATACACAGGATGATAAATTAAACATGATGCTCCACTTAATAGTAACATATAGAAAATGACTACCCAACAAACAGGGTGTCTCACCTTCATGGCCTTGTAAAGTCTCTCAGCAAAGTAGGCGGGTGTGTTCTTAATACACTTCACTGAAATAGAGAAAATACTTATTACCAAAACAAGCCCAATTAATTTATACTTTGTTTTTTTCTTTTCCATACAAACAACACACACACACACATTCTAATATTTATCACTGCAAGGTGAGGTCAACTTTACTTGTGTGCCATCTGAAAAGTGAACTATGAAAAACCGAGTAATGTGTACACCAACAGAATACAACAGAATGGCAACAAGCAAATTTAAAGCTGCATGAATCAATATTCAATTAAATATATTCAATAAAATTTCTTGTAATGGCAGATTTACCATGTGGTTAGGTTTACCCATTGCACACTGTCTATCTAGCACAAAATGGCTGAAACTTCAGTAACTGATGGAAAAAGTCAAACTTTTAGCAGCTAATGACCCAGATATTTTTCACAAAAACAGAGCTATAAGGAGAGTGAATATTAGAGTTACATTCATCGGGTGGGGAGGGAAACATGACCCTGATAGGGTGATCATGTTGCTGTGTCTGAAGTGTAGATGTGCAAGCAACTGTTTGCTTATAGGTGAGCCACAATATCTTTATAAAGGTGATATTAAGTCAGGGATGTATTTGTTACCTTGTTTCTGGGATTTTCTTCCTCTTACTAGCCACATATTGATTAATGCAGCTTTAAAGCAAGTTATATTTTGTAAAAATGTAAAATTTGAAATCAGAAACATTGCCCAGAAGAGTAAAATGAAACACAGCATCAAAAACGATGGCATACACTGCAGCCCACACCACCTCACAATGAAAAACATATAGACCGGATGTGCAAAAACCATGAAAAGAGTCAAATAAAATGAACAAATCTAAAAACAAGTTACTGTACCATAACCCTGAGAAATGTTGGCAAAAAAGGAAAAAACAAAGATTATGCATTTAACAGCATCCTCTTCCTCCAATACTACATTTACTTACTTAAGTGTTCTACGATAACAGTAATACAGTAACATAATGAGCATGGAAAATGTTAATGGTTAAATGTTACGTCAAACATGTACTGCAGACAAGCCTCTACACACGTCATTAACAACTCACTGTATGTGGATCAGATTCTGACTTACGCAATGACTTACGTAATACATGGGTGTGGCCCCTCTAAAAATAGACTTGAATAGGTGTGCGTGTTCTTACCCACTGCCAACATGCCGCTCTCAAGGTCTCCGGACATCTCCCTGCCGATGCTCTTCTCGATATCTCTGCCGCACATCTGTTGGTACTGAAGAAACACTACACAAAGACACATATAGACGTCAAACACTATCATTCTCAATTATCCTCAGATATGTTTTAAAACGGATCTTCGTAAAAAATACCTGCTCTGAGATGGGGTTTGCTCCTGGCACACAAAATGGCATTAAATTTGGACTCATCTGTTCCCAGCTTGTTTTCTCCGGCAGCATATAGGGACTGTAACGAGAACAGCAATGTGTACAAATCAACATGTCTTTGCAATCGATAGGTCAAGAACTACCAAGCTGATGATAAATGCATGATCATCGAACATGAAGGAACCAGTCTTTACCTGAGCATCTTGTTTAGCCAGAGAGATGTCAACAGCTTCTCGTTCGTCACGATTACCCTGCAAAACACAAACCAGAACATTACTAATTAAATATGAAAGTAGTTGCTAAGAGACATCAGGTATACAGGTCATTCATTTGTGTTATATCTGTACCTGGGCGAGAGAGATCAGGAGCCTGCGGAAGTGGCCTGAGGTATCCCCACTAATGGCATCCTCCAGTGACTTCTTGTATTCTGAAGTGGCAAAAAATTATTAGTACAAACAATCAAACAAATAAAACCAGAGCACACACAAACATACAGGTTCGTGCAATAGTGACTTTTGAAGGCTGGTGAAAAATATTACTCGACGGAAATTTGTGATAATCTCAATATATTGTTTTTACAATTAGAATCTTTAAATGTGTAACATTATGCAACTTCATTCAAATCATGAAGCACTGAAACTCTTCACTGAAGACTGAAATACAAGCAGCTTTTCAGGCACATACTGTAGGTAGGGTGACCACAACCCAACTTACTAGGACACTAGCATACTTTACTACATGAGCTTGAAAGGATAAAAATAGTAAGCAACTCTGAAAGACTAAATAGATGCGTCATAAAACTGAAGAATCAATGCAAATGTATAATGCTTTCTGTATTTGCAGTCATGAAACTGATAGATTTCAATTTCTCAATATTGACTAAAAAGGCAAGTTCTACATGATTTTAATGTGCAACAGATTCCTAGCCGTGACATCTGAATTTACACATTTTATGGTGGCCCCCAAATCTAGATACACTGAGTTTATCCACTTATGTAATAAACTCTTTCCACACCGTGTTGTGATGCTGTGTGATAAAGAGAAGAGAAGGGAACAGTAGGGGAAAGCAGTGCATTAGCCTGAGGCATCTCACCTTGTTTGTAAATCCGGTTTATCTCCTTGATTTCAGCGTTGGAGCGGGAAGACAGGATCTCTATCAGACAAGCTTCATCAGTTCCGGCTCCCTGTTGGGAAGACAGAACAATGACAATCTGACAACCTCATCCTCTGGCCTTGTAGCAGCCAAAATTCATCCTGTTTATTTTTGTTTAGTGAGTCAAACCTACAACTAATGCAATTCTTTCTAACATTATATAATAATAATGTTGATAGTAAGCAAATGTGTTTACAATGCTAAACCGCATAATAACCTGGATGATAAGTCATTCTATGATGACAAAAAGATAGTAAATACAGATAAAATGATAATGTGTTCCTGATGATTTACCTTTATGGCACTGTTGAGCTCATAGGCATCAAGCTCAGCTGGGGACTTCAAAGTGGTCATGACCAGCTTCCTAAAGTCTCCAGACAGTTCTGAATGCAGATCCTTAATCAGATCCTGAAAATGGAAACATGCTTGAAATAACTCAAAACCATCATTAACTGCTGCTGCTGCAAACAACTTTCTGCAAGAAGCTCTGTGGCCTAGCTATATCGAGCTCTGAGGACATTCAATCCCCTCTCCATTTTACTGCCAGCACTAGCACCTGTTCTTTGCGTGTCACCATTATGCACGGCTAGGTAATGCACACTCAGCCACGTATGAGTCTATGTTGAGAAATGGTGTTTGTTTTGTAAACAATATATATTTTAAAAGTAGATACTATCCTCATGGAAAATGGCATCAGGTATCACATTAACAACATACAACAAACTTAACAAGCATGAACAGGACTGTTACCTTTCCATATGCGGTTTTGTAGGTCCGGAGCAAAGGCACACGCTGACTGTTAGAGCGACTCCCCAGTAAGTCGATGATGGCTTGCTCATCAGTTCCTGCACAGACAAGCTCACAATGTCAAATCAGATAGAAAAACATGTCCACTTTATTTCCAATTCAAAGCAATTCCTTTATGCTTAAAAATGACAAGTATCTGATATCTGTATATAATTTTCCAAAAACAAAGACTGACTTTTTTTTTACCCATTATCCTGAAAGAGACCATAAAAGACGACTACCGATGATCAACTAAACACTTCTTAGTTGACTATGACCCTTCAACTAAGCAATAATAGCATACCCTGACTAAAGTCTCCGTCCATATACTCACCAAAGCCCTTCATGGCCTTCCTCAGGACCTCCACATCCTTGAGTGGGTCAGCTCCAGGAAAGTCTCTGATTGTTCCCCTGAATCCTCTCTGAGACAACAATATAGCAATTTATGTAATTTGCTATTTCAACAAAATTCATTCAGCAGTTCATTCTGCTTTAGACATTACACTGTAAATGTATATCGGTATGTGTATTTAACACATAACAGCAGAAGCCTAATATGATGACAGATATTAAATTTTTTAATAGTCTCAAAAAAAGTATTATATTACATTGACAGGTGGAGCCACTGGCATGACTCCTCCTCCTCCTCCATAACCAGCCATGGGTTGGCTGGGTGCTGGTGCTCCTCCATAACCAGCCATGGGTTGGTTGGGTGCTGGTGCTCCTCCATAACCAGCCATGGGTGGATTGGGTGATGGTGCACGGGGGTATCCAGGCATTGGCTGGCCAGGCTGGCCAGGCTGACCGGGGTAGCCCATCCCTGGGCCTTGGGGTTGTCCTGGCTGTGGGTACAGGCCATATGACTGTTGGTTAGGGAAGGCACCATACCCACCTGGCTGGGGGGCAGGTGGGTACCCCCCAGGGGCTTGAGCATACATGGGTGGGTTTGAGGTAAAACCCGCCATGACTGCAGAGATCTGACTGGCCTGTGATTTAAAAAGATTGGCATCTCATAATATGTGCACAGAGACTTGAAGATGATTTTATGCAAAGCACAGGTAGCTGATCACACCTTGTTTGGATTTAATTAGCATTGGTTCATGCTATATACTTTTCCCTCCCTATACAAATATACAATTTAGTTTTATTTATGTTCATTTATTTTAGGGATGCACGATAACTTTTTTTTTTTTAAACCGATACCGATAACCGTTAACTTTCAGCTCCCAAAGGCCGATAATGATAACCGATAACACACACACACATAAATACATATATATGATCATGACCTAAGATCATGACATTAATACTATGAACAAACCCAAAAACACTTTTGACTCTTTAAATGGAGGTTTGACGTATTGAAGCTCGTGCTACTTTTACCTCCTCGTGGAACTTGCTTGGAACATTTTAACAAATAACAAGCGACCTGTCTTCTTCATAAACTTTGAAAAAGTCCCACACAATCGACGCCATGTTGTCTGTTTTCAAACGTAAGCACGCTGTGCTGCATTCACGGTGTGACGGAAATTCCCTGTTCCCACGTTTGCTAGTCGTTCTTTCGGCCTTTTTAAGTTCATGTTTCTATTGTTTATGTGTAACATGTGGAAAAATACTGTGGATATCAATTCAAAATTATGACCGAGTTAACGAGTTCTTTTCCGACATGAGGGGGTATTTGAATTTTCACAGTCAGAAAGAGTTTTTCTGATTATGCCAACGTCACTTGAACGCAGGCATTCACTGCAGGCCATTCAGGTCTCATAGTGGGAGCGGGGCACTGCCGTGCTGACAAAATGATATATATGTTATCGGGGCTATTCGTCATGATATCGGACTTATCGGAATGACGTAATAATTTCCTGTTATCGGCCCGATAATTATCGTGCACCCCTAATTTATTTATTATGAATCAATGTTTAACTAATTTGTAAGTGAATGTCCCTTATTCTGGATCTAACTTCAGAGGAGAAACTAAAGTTAATATTCCCAATGTTCTGAAGTTCTTCCAGTTACATGACTTGCAAGTATCCAAACAAAGTGTGGCCAGGCTATGTGAAAAGATGGAAATCTGATAACACAAATGAAAATACAACACAGACAAAGAGAATAAATCACAAAGGTAAAAAGGGGTAAAAAGTTGCATTAGATGATAGGTTTAAGACACATGGATAAGAATGAAGGAAGTGACTGTTTTTCTCATGCAAGAGGCCTAGAGAGAGAAACGGACAAAGAAAATGGCAACGCTGAGGATTTTAAGATGCAGACTTTGGAAAAGTCTTACCGTGAAACGAAACGATGTGATATTCCATGAATGGCTGTGTAATTAATTCTAACTGGAATATTCAATGCAATAATCTGATGATGTTGGATTACACATATATTAAGAATTTTATATGCGTGCAGGTGGAGGGGATTTTTTTAGGCCAAACTTACCATGCCAGCGTTGTATCCAGGGTTGGATAAGCTGTCAAGACCAATGGAAGGATATCCACCAGTAGGGCCACCTCCCCAGCTGCCTGTAACCGACAACAAAGACAATGCTGTTCAGGAAAATTGAAGATGTATTGTGCTACTAAATGCCTGAAAGAATTGAGAACATTAGTCTGAGACAGGAATAAGCGTCCTTACTAGAACTTCCTTTTTCCTCTTTTTCCAACTGGTTAACGGGTAGGTGAAAGAGTGCTGGACACAGAATGTGACTACTGTGTGAACGATCGACTGTGGGACTTGATTCTCCTAGCAACAGCCGAGGTTTGTTTGTTCTTGGAGGAAAAAAATTCCACTCTTAACTATAAGTCCCATGATCCCTGTTGCCTACAAACATGACATAACTGGCTCACCCTTTCTAAAATAGGCACCAGAATACCGTGATTTGAATCTATATCCGTTTATTTCTCTTCTCTTTCTCTTAATGTATAACCCTAACCCGTTTGCAGCTTTAAAAGACCACATTTTGGGAAATACAGTTATTCACTTTCTCATTGAGAGTTTGGTGAGAAGATTGATATCACTCTCATGTCTGTATAGTAAATATGAAAGCTACAACCAGCAGCTTCGATGGCTTAGCATTAAGACTGAAAACGGAGACACAGCTTGACTGGCTCTGTCCACAAGTAACACAATCTGACTACCAGCTAAAGCTGATTAATTGACATGTTAAATGCCGTTTTTTTAATACATACCAAAAAAAAACAACTGTAAGTGTGACAGTGATGGAAGTCACTGTACCCAGCCAAGTAATAGATCAGCACATAACCCCCTTAAAACCACAACATGTAGTGACAAAGTTAGTGATCTGCACAGGTGCTGGTAGGCTGAAGTCATCTAACTCTTGGCAAGTAAGCAAATAAGTACATTTCTCAAAACTTCTCACAATCTCAAAACTTACCTTGTGGTGGTGCCTGTGGGTAGCCTCCACCCTGTGGTGGGTAGCCTCCTGCCTGTGGAGGATAGCCTCCTGCCTGTGGAGGATAGCCACCGGCCTGTGGAGGATAACCACCGGCCTGAGGAGGATAGCCGCCAGCCTGAGGAGGATAGCCACCAGGTTGAGGAGGGTAGCCGCTTGGCTGTGGCGGGTAGCCTCCTGCCTGGGGAGGGTAAGCACCAGGTTGTGGAGGGTAAGCCCCAGGCTGTGGTGGGTATCCGCCTCCCTGAGGGGGGTATCCAGGGTAGCTCATGGCTCTAAACATAAAACAAAACTGTCAATCAAAGAGCTGCCAAACATGAACTATTGCTAAAAATGAAGTATCATCTTGTGCACCCACCTAGATCAAATGTATTTTACTTGGTTGAGGACAAAGACAGAGCGCTACCGGTTAATGGCACCGTTAAACATACACAATGCACTGACATAGCAACGTGGAAGTTTAAAACACAACCAGCTGTAAACCTTCCCCTCCTCATATTTCCCACTGGGCAAAATTCTTCACTGACTAAGACAGAAATAATCTGACTTTTCCAGAACTGGTGCATTTTGTAATGTATGCGTTGTATGATGTATTTCTTATTACAACAAATATATAGTTAGTTGTTACATCGAGCATACACTAGCCTGCCTTGTCACTAGTCTGCAGGTTCCTTGATTAGTATAGTGCTTTTATATGCACCTAAAGGCAACTTCAGGCCTATGAAATTGAGTCTCCCGCTATCAGTTATTTTCCTAATGTGAGCTGATTCTTTAATCTATCCTCCACAGCCTTTGCTTTTGAATGTAGCAATGTCACTGTCACTGTAATCTGATTAAGAGCAAACTCTTCCTTCCAGGGCTGTTGGGTCACAGGCATTTTAGGTGGGTGGTGGGGCGGTGAGGAAACTTTCATTTTGGTTAAGCTTTGTATGAAATGCCTATGTTCCAAGAGGCCTTCTTGTTCCATGGTACAACTGACATCAGTGGACTTAAATGGAACAGCCCATTGCTTTGCATTTTATGGACAGAGGAGGAAAAAAAACGGACGTTGCTATGTTTGAATAAGTACACAGGGCAGGGAAGCTTTCCTATGAAGCAATAGACTTTTTCACAGCAGCCATTTCTACATGAAATAGTAGGATAAACACAGGTATCACCAATAATACAGATGACGCTATTTGACTTTTAAACAGAGGCTTAATTAGTATCACTAGTAACATCTGTGTTTACCTTTCTATGTCATGTCAAAATGGCTACTGTGAAAAAGTCTATTGCTTCACAGGGTCGCTCCCCTGTGTAAGGTTTTTTTATATTCTAAGCTACTTTCAGGTTCTGTAGACAAAAGTTATCCATAGTCACATTTACTCAGAGTCTAAGTGTAAATACATGTAACCTCTTACACTTCCTCCTCATCCACTGCTGCCTTTGCGGTAGCAGCTCCAAAGCTTTGAAATAACCTTGTTAATTTTAAGACAAAACTCAATATGTACATGTTTTCTATGGCTTTTGATTGTTCTTATTGGGTTTTAGTTTTTAGTTCTTACTTGCCTTGTTCTGTCAGTGTTTACTGATGTGCCATGCACTTTAATTTGTACAGCACTTTGCTGTCAACTCTGGTTGTTTTAAATGTTTTTTCGCTTATGTAAAGTGCCCATTCAACAACCCTTAAAACACGGTAATTTGGTCAGAGCAAATGTGGTTTGTTTAGTTCAGGGTTAAATGGTTCAGGTTCAAACGCTTTCACACTTCAAACGGTGAGAAAGCTGTTACCTGACATACCCTCAATACACAGCTGCAAATTTTAACACCTTTGCACATCCACATTTGCTTGAGAACTGGAGTGCTAATAAAGAATGTAGCTTTTCAGGGTCAAAAATCTTTTTAAAATATAACGTTAAAGTCAACATTATGAGGTCATTACAACCTCCCATGGTGTTACAAGACAGTGACGATTACTGTAGCTAAGCTAGGGTTAGGTGTGTCAGGTCACTCACTTAAGATGATTTCTAGTTCGGCCTAACACACAAGACATTACTAGTTAATTAATACACATTCACTAGTGACCACTGAAAGTTTAACACTATGCAACAACAACAAACAGATTAACGTTATGTGAGTCCATAGAGGAACAGACATTAAGCTCAAAACATGAACCAATGTTTCGTTTTTGAACGGCGGCTAGCTTTGTTATTACAACTCTGCTTCAGGCCTGTACACGTATCCTATCGAAACATAGCTGAGCCAATTAACATAATGGTCCGTCCAGCCGTGAGCCCAGCTCTATGCCCCTAGCTCGCTGGATAACAACAAATAAACAAACACAATTCCAGGAACAAGATAAAGCTACGACAATATACAGTAGACGAGCATTGTTTTAGCCTTAAATGGTTAAGCTAAAGGTACATCTGCTTTAACGTTGGCTGGCTAGCGACAGCGTCGAGGAGGATCTTAAGACCATAAAAAACGACTCCAAACATAGTTACCAATGGTCCAAATATAAGTTACACCGTGTTCCTAACACATCGGTCATTATACCAGCCTGTTTGAGTTAGTTGTTAGATTTTAGTACTTACTTTATTCTGCTTGCAAAGTCTCTTCCTGGAAAACGTATTTCTGTAACGACCAGTCGCAGTATTGACTGTATTTAACTAACTTAAGTGGTGTGGGTGGGACTCATACTTTCCATTTGAGGGAACCCACCCATCAGTGACTGACAGCCTTCCTCTTGTCATGTGACAGCCAACGGTGACAACAAACAAAACACGTTTTCACTGTTATTATACTATCACATACTGCACATTCTTTAACTTACATCCGTGACATTATGGAAAGTGTGACACACCGACCTCACCTTAGCTAAAACTAAAAAGTGTTTACTGACACACGGACACATTTTTCTTTATTAATTCTTAATAATGTGATAAGATTATAAAGTATATGAGTTATATATACAAATCAGCATATATATTAATATATATTATATACTGTTTAATTTTATAGCAACAATCAAAGATACGGAAGTATAATTAGAATTGGGGTCTGTAAATTAAATAATTCTTTACCACTAGAATAAACTGTGTGTATATAAACCTTCCTCATAGATGACTGGTTTATATGGGTGGGTGTTATGTGGCCATAGTGACCAACAGGGAGGTGGTATTTTTACCTTCCTCCACGTCACTAATCCTACCTTTGCAAGAATTGATTATGTTACACATACTGTGTGTGCGTTTGTGTGTGTGTGTGTGTAAGAAGGGCATTGGCCACAAGAGGGAGCTCTTTTTAAAGCTTTCTCTATATCATACTATGTCCTGCCTGACACCTTTAGGTTGCCTTGGTGGATTTGACTTGCTCAGTAGAGTGTTCCCACTGAGAGAGGCCTGGGTTGGTGTTGAGGTGCTTATTTTATTGATTGATTAACTGATTTGATCGGTTGATCCAGCTTTTTTTCTTGTTGCACACATCCAGATATACTTTTCAGATGGCTGAAGGGGCATTAATGAACATAATTTGGCAAGTGTGCGTGTGACACTGTTGACTTAATGATCAAATGGGCCTTTACTACATTAACACAAGTCACAGGGACACTCCAAAGATTAGATTAGATCAGTTAAGCACAACTCACCTCTGTCCGTGAATAAACAAAACACCTATCTACACACACACACACACCACTGTTTAACATATATGGACATATAAAATAAATATAATATCATGATAAAAGTTATAAGTAAGTAATAAATAACCACATGACTCAGACATAGTGTGGTTTAATTCAGTGTCTGATGTGGCTGAATATTTATAAACCTTCCTGTAAAGCAGGGCTGTTGGCTTGGAGAGAATAGGCAGATGAACCATTTGTCCTATCCAGTAGTTCATGAATATTCATACAAAGCGGACGCTGATTGGTCCGCGTCCTCGGTGACGCAGCGCCGTCCTCATTACATATTCAAAGAGCCTCTCTCTGCCCCGCTGCAATAAAGGCAGATAGCGGACCATGGGGAGCAGGGGAAAACTTTTTATACTGACATGTTAGCGCAATGACTTTTGAGTAACATCTAACTGGGACGAGGTTCCCGGCGTGAGGAGGACAGGGCCCCCTTGTACGGGAAGAAAAAAGGAGCACTTGCCATCTGCCGGGGTTACGGGAACGAAAAGCAAGACGGCAAAAGAGTTGAGACCAGGCCAAGAATCAGCGGTGGAAAATCCAGTTTAGCCATTTGAATTGAAAGATGAGCTTGTTGTCTGCCATAGACACGAGTGCCTCCGTGTACCAGCCTGCGCAGCTTCTCAACTGGGTCTATCTCTCCTTACAAGACCCCCACCAGACCAGCGCTTTTGACGCGTTCAGACCCGAACCCAACTCTTCCCACCCGGATCTCAATTTCAGCAAGACTCCCGCAGCGGCGGACTTGAGCTCTTCCCTGAACTCCAACTATCTCAACAACTTCTTTCAGCTGCAGCGTAACGAGGTGAAAGATGGCATGCCGCATACATTTCTGGGGTTATTACAGACTGTGGTTTTATTTACTGGGATAAAGTTTAGACACCGAGTTGGTTGATCTGTTGCATGTCTGTGCACCAAATGTTACAGCATAGTACAGCATGAGCTATTCTGGTAGGATAACCGCCATGGTCTCTCTAATATGGACAATCAGTTCAAATAGTCTTATTAAATCAACAATGTTTGAATATTGATGAAAAACACTTACTCTAAACAGTACATCAGAACATTTAATAGGTCAAGTATTATCACACTTTATATAACACATATACAGGCTGCTATAAATATGACTGCCAATACTGTAAGTCTAGAGAAACACTGTAGGAATATCAGGATTATACAGGAGGTCAGTGCATTAACAGTAAGTAGTGTCACTATAAACTCACTTATGAGAGACTGCAGGAGTGTTATAGGATTGTTTGGGGTTTATTTAGGCTCAATTAGTCAACTAAAATCTTGCAAGATGATTAAACAGTGAAATATCACAACAAGGTGTACAATGTATGTACAATTTAAATCATTCTTCTTTTATAATGTTATTAAGTAATTCAGCATTCTGCAAACTGATGAGTTATGGTTCAAATTAAAGGTGAAACTGATGTGTTTTAATCAGACATGTCTCTGATCAGAGAGGTAAAGAGGGACAGATGGAAATAGATTCCTCTGAACGCCTCTTTCTGGAGAGAGCAGGCCACTGCAGCCCCTTGCTGAGGTCTGCTGTCTCTCTGACTTCTTCAAATAGACCTGGTTGTGCAAACAACATCAGTTCTTGTTTACATATTATCTATTTTTGTAGCTCAGTTTAATTTTAGGGACAAACATGCTGATAATGTATGCAGGGTGCAAACCTGATACTGCAGCACATACAGTGAAAAAAGGACCCCACCACCACACCCGTCAACCTCATGCACATACATACAGCACACACAGAAAAATAATCAGACACTGTGGGCAAATGGTAGTTTAAAGAACATACAGCAAGCTCTCCGGTGTGTTGATTACACTGCAAGTTGAGTTTCTTAGATCTATGTTACTATGACGCTATGTGTTGAAACTCTAGGAAACACTAGTAGAGGAGGAACAGTGTGTTCACCATCTAGAGCCAGTGTCCATTATTATGGTGGTAACCATATAGGCCTTTTGAAGTCATTTAACATGAAACAGTCCTCTAAAATTGGGTGTGCACATTATACATTACACACACTTGTGTAATGCCATTCAATCTGCATGAGTATAAAGTGTTTCAAACTGAGGGAACACATACAGTCTGGAAACGGTTTAAATGGGGGGGGGGGTTGCATTTTGCAACTCATTTTACCGGCTAAGCCAAGTAAAATAAACCACTGCAGAGATTTGATGATAAAATGAGTAATGCAAAATGTGGTTGTTTTTGCACCAGCAGATCAACAGTCTACTTAAAGTGAACTAGTGATAAATTCATGAATTTGTGGTTGATTTGAAACCCATATTGTGGCACAAGTCAACTATGCTTACTGCAACCTCCTCTGCTGAGTCACTTTTTCTCATTCATTATCTACCATTAGGCTAAAAGGACAAACAATTTGACTTTTGAACATTTATAACCACTCTGGAATAATCTAACCCTGTGGCAATTTCCTGTGGAATCTATTCTGCCTCAAATCAATCACCTTTAAAGTTTCTACCAGATACTGCAGCCCTGGTTTAAATGTATCAGTGTGTGATTGGCCCCTGCATTGTGACGCCTCATCCGTGGACCTGTGAAAACAGTCACAAATCTGCTATAGTGGTACACTTCACTTGCACTCGCACAGTGACCAGTTTAGTCCTTATTATGTTGGCCAATGCATACACATCCATTGGCACACACATAAACACACACTCTCCTGCTGAGTCACTCACTCACTCTCTACCTCATTCACTACCTCACTCTCACAGACACACAAAATAAACAAACAGTCTCACCCCACCATTAGCAGATGTGTGTGAAATCAGTTTCCTTTGGCCTGACAGTAGGAGGTTTAAGGCCAAACTGAAGAAATGTGAGGAACATCAACCGAGCGAAGTTTCCTGTTTTATATTTGTTAAAATAATTTAACAATCTGCGCTACGACTTAAGTTCAGTGAATACACAAACATATACGTTTCCACAAGGAGTGGTGATACGAAACACAGTAATACACAGAGCTAAAACACATGGCAGATGGAAACTTAAGAAACTACAGAGCCGTAATGCTTGATTTACGACAACTACATGTAATAAATGAACATGAGTCCTAAAGCTGGAGCTGGTTAGCAAGACAATCTCACAGCCTGCAGATAAAGATTTGGCTTTCAGCTTCAGCCGTGTTGCCAAGTCTAAGGTTTCTGCAACATTCAACATCAACATTAACACCCTTTCCCAGACATCAAGCCTGTGGCCCAAAAAGAGACATAACCGTCAGTGATGAGGAGGAGTTTACTTGTGGATGTCATCATGACGGTTTTACTTGACAGTAAGTTTAGTGCAGTTAAACTATCAAGGTGGGTGACTGGTTAGACTGTTTGTTTAGCACCTTGTCCACACGGGTTAATTACCCGACCATCTGAGAATAAAAAGGTCCGTGTTAAAATCAGCATAATTTCACCCAGAGGTCAATTCCTGTCTGTCGTTCCTGGATTGTATTTGAACAGAGGAAGGCATGAATGAGAAGGGGAAATAAGGGACTGCAAGCCATGCTTTCCCTGTTATTAATATTCAGACGGCATCTTCCATGAATTCACTGGGCTCTGTGGCATGCAACACTGCGTTCTGTGGTTCCAAGCAGACTACAAACACGGACCATGGCTAGTTTACCGCCAACAGTGCATGGTGACATTGCTGATGTTCCACAGGCTGGTGAGGGAACATGCCTCCCATCTTGTTTACAATGAGTCATCCTCTGTAAAGTCCTGTCTTTCTCTGTGGACATGCTCAGTACTTTTCCAGCTCATGAGCACAGCTGGGCCTCTCGCCAGATGTTCTGAATTTAATGAGAGAAATGATCTTGGAGGGATTTTTTTCTTTCATTTTTTTTATTTTTTATTACGCAACAGAAAATAGGACAGAGGGATCTGGAAGGAAACTTGTGATTAATCTCAACAGGTTTAACACTCCAAACCAGAAATGCAATATTTTATGTGATTATCTTGTATGTGGTAATGTTGTCCAGCACCCTCTATGTAAACAAGTAAGAATTTATAGACCTCTGAGTGTATGTGAATTGAGT